GCCTGGGCTCCGCCTCTTTACTCCGAGGGCTAAACCACAGAGACGGGGGAACTGAGGAACTATCATCATCAATAGAGCAATCGTATCTATATTTTAGGACCACGATCAATGAAAACTGAACTGCGATGAGGAATCCGTCTGCAGAAAGGGTCACAGCGCATTTCCTGCCTCAGAAACCTGCTCGTTCCCACACTGACCCAACTATTTGACCTTTGTGTGGTTCGGTCACACCTCTGTCACAGAGCAAACTCACTGTTGGTCTGACAGGTGAGTCACAGCCATGTTCACCTCCCTGGACTCTAAACAGGTACAGGAGACTTTATCACTTCTTAATAAAGGCTCCGTGTGTGTGTCCGGTTTGTGTGTGTGTCCGGTTTGTGTGCGTTTGTGAAAGGAAGCCAAACGATGTCATTTCTCTATAAAGCAAATTTACCTGCAGGTAAAAGTAAAGGAATCATCACACGTGACTCTCCCAACATATTTACCTTTAAAAACATGACTGAGGTGAGCAGGGGGACAGCAGGTTCCTGCCCCGCGCTCCCACCTGTCCTGCTCAGGTGTTCCTACCTGTCCTGCAGGGGCCCCTCCCCGCGGTGTGGAGCTCGGGTGTGGAGAAGACGGCCTCCCTCAGCTGACACATGTTCATGTATGTTCTCCCGTCAGAGCCGCACACCGGCTCCTGCTCCTCGCACACGCACTCCTCCTCTTCATCCTCTCCTCCTCCTCCCGCCTGACACCGCAGTCCGCTCCCACACAGCCCGTAGAACACGCTCCGGTTCCCGGGGTCGCAGGGCTGGCCCTCCAGGTTCCCGCACTCCAGGCAGCAGCTGCAGGAGTCCGGCACCAGCCCGGCCCGGCAGCCGCCGGGCAGCGAGCACCGGTCCGGCTGGCACGGCCCGCAGAGCCCCGGCGGCGCTCCGCACGGGCGGAGGCTCAGCCAGAGACAGAGCAGCACCAGAGTCCGCATGTTTATCCGCCGGTACCGGGACTCTGACCGGGAACAGAGACACAACAGAGCCATAGATCCGCCCGCCTGCCCGGGCTCACACCGGCATCCCCCGCGTCAGACACCGACAGCCTCCGGTAGAGTCTCCGGTACAGTCCGAGCTGCTGACGGGCTTTCTGTCTGTGGCAGGTTTGAACAGCTGAGCTGCTCGCGCTGCTTCACTGTGTCGCTGTCACGTGTGTCACAATGGACGCAAACAACAGACACAGGTTCCGGTTTGAC